GTTATTTATTTCCCTCACTCTCTTTTTCTGATCCAATTTCTTTACCACTTTTTGTAAAATTAATAATAGGATAGAAGAAGGAAATAAAGTTTTAGTGATGTGAACAATTCATATGGTCTGGATGGAAATTATATTCTGTAAATATTTGAGTATTAAAGTATATATTTTGTTCATCTATTTTCACACAAGAAGCAATCAAATGAAAATGAAGCTTGGAAGAATGTTGCTATAGAAGAGGATGGTGAAATAAAACGCACCTTATCTATTTTCAAGTCTGAATCGTTTATGGGTTCGTTTCATACACTCGATGTGTAAGAATGTGCAAAATCCTATGGGTGCTGGAATAAGAACTGTTGGGGATATTGGGAATATTGGGAATATGTAATGGGGGAGGGAGATAAAAACTAAAGAGTTGCAAAGAAAAGAGAGTTAAGGAAATTGGAATTTGATTTAATTACCCCTCCTTTTTTGGCTACATAAACAATAAAAAGTTTTAAATTAAATTATAGAGTTCATTTAAGTTTGTAAAATTTAAACCCCATAATAGCCACTTACGAATTAATAATTTCTATGTGTTTTCCGACACCAAATGTTGTAGGGTCAAACAATTGTCCCGTGAGATTAGTTAAGGTTGCACTAGTCTAGCACTCACGGATGTAAAAAAAAAATATTAAGTTTGTAAAATTTGGATTATGTTTTCAATTAATTATTGTCATTAATAGTAAGGATGTGACATGTTTATTAAATTAATTTAGATTTAATTAGTGAAATGTGAGCGATAATTGAATAGACTAATGTATAATTCACAAGCGATACTTTTTCATGCTTGAAGCAATGTTTTTGGCCTCAGTCATCAATCAGATGGATGCGTATTTAATTTCTTGGCCAAGTGGGGAAGGAATTTTGCCGCAAATTTGGCAAGCTAACTACTTGCATCAGGGGAACAACAAAGACATATACCATATAAAACTTAAAAAGCACACCCTCGAAACCCTTTACATAAATGAGGGTTTTTTTCCTCACAAGTTTAGAAAAGAGAGAAGAAAACTATTCCCTTTTCTAATAATGATAATTTCAACTCTCGCGGTCTTTAACCAACCTAAATATCGCTAAATTGAGGTTCGAATTTCTTATCCTTCCATTCATTTGTAATATAATATTTTTTTTCTCCAAGTTTTGACTGTCCCTTACTTCATTAATTGTGTGACCATTTCTATCAATCCAAACATATCTCAACTAATTAATGCAAAAAAAGAATAACTTTTTACGGGATCAAATGTTTGATTGCCCTTTCTTCATCGGCTGTATGACCATTTCTGTTAATCTAAGCATAACTCAACGAAAAAGAATAACTTTATGTGAGGCCAGATGTTCAACTTCTTACCTACACATTGTTGATGAGCTATATATATATATGACAATTTCCACTCAAATTCTGCATTTCGCAAGTATATTCCCCATCAGATATTTCCCACGAAAACCAACTTGTAGTTACAGAGAAGGAAATGGAAAGCGAGTTTTAAAGCAAAAGCAAAAGCGAAAAACTTCAGCAATCTGAAAGCACTCAACCCGACAGATCAATATCACCAAAGCATACATGTACATTCGTATAAAGAAGTGGTCTTGATTTCTGAGGAGCTGCAGAGAAGAAAGGTCACTGATTAGGAGTCGAAGTTTATACAAAACGCAGAGAAGATGACAAGTAACGATGGTGGCAGCAGAAATGGCGAGAGAACTTCAATAGAAGGGAGTGACGATCAAGAGGAAGACGAGATGGTGTCGAAACTGACCGTATCTACATTACAAGCTAGAGAAGAAGAGATCGATAGGAAGAAGATGGAAGTAAGAGAGAAGGTTGAACTTCAATTAAGCCGTGCCGAGGAAGAAGCGAAGCGCTTAGCACAGATTTGGGAAGTAAGTTATGCAATTTCACTTGCACACGAAGAAGGCACAAATTTCACCCTTCCTACAGTAGATTTTATTGTAAATTCTCATATTGTAATTTCAGTTGAATTTATTAATTAACTTATTAAGAAGTTAGTTATATGTATGAGTATGCGATAACAAGGTTGAATTGGCTTTTCATCCTCCTCTCATGAAAATGTATTATGGGATTTCAGCGAGACAAAAGTATATAATTACCTTGAATTTAGGCCAAAGCTTCATGTCATAGTTACTCTCATGAAAATAACCTTGTCCCAATTTGATATCAATGAAAATTCACCAAACTTAAGCCTAAGAGATCAAAATTGCCCATCCCATTTTCCTCGATAAGAGAAAGAGCATACCTTAAGGGATAAGTGTAGTAATAGAGGGGAGACAAGCTTTTATAATAAGAGGAAAAAAACCGAGAAACTCAAAGTACCATCCATGGAATATGTAGCTAAACTTATTAATTACCATATAATTGGGATCTAAAGGACAATCTGGTTGACAAGAATTTGGAGTCTCTTGTTCATACTAGTACGTGTCAAGTTCGAACCTTCCAGTGAGTTTAATACCAAAAGTGTTCGATGTCACTTAACTGGTTAATACATATATCATCGAACAAAAAATCAAAATTTTGAATTCCCATATAATATATAGAGGAACAAAACTCTAACTTCCGATTAAAAAAAATCTAAGTTATCTACCATTCAATAAAATCTAAGAGTAAATTAAAGTATAAAGTGATATGCATATTATTATTATTAAAAAAAGATCACTATAATGAGGTTGTGGATGATTAGGAGCTGAAGGTAATGGTAGACCCAATGAGGAAGGAAGTTGGCAACGTGCGAAAAAGAATAGACACAGTCAAGAGAGAACTGAAATCACTGGGACAGATATGCCAAAAGAAGGTGCTTCAATTTTAAATTTTGCCTTTAATTCTGTTTTCTAAATTTCATCTTCGCATATAATTTTTCAGTTTTGTTTCGGTACGGCGAAATTTTCAGTTAAATTATTATCAGTGAAAGATGCAAATTGAAAGCCATTTCTTCTAAATTGGAACAGGAAAAAGAATATAAAGAAACCCTGGAAATATTCAATGAGAAAAGCAACGAGAAAGCTCAGCTACTCGCTGCACTAATGGAGGTATAATAATTCTCAACCCCATTTTGTAAATTGAAAATTTTCCTCCTCCATTTTCTTGGCAACCAAACAGTCTACAAAAGCACTACCTAATACTCTCTTATCAGCTGCTGGGTCAGAGTGAGAGATGGAGGATGGAAAAGCTCGAGGAATTGAGTAAGAACATAGAGTCAACGCACTGATCAATGCCTAATAATAAAACCAAAAATATGAATGACTATTGTCGTCCACTGGTAGCAACTTTACCATTCTTTTTCCCTTCTTAAATTTGTATTCTTAAAGAGTTTGCATACTTCACAAAGTGTTTAAAAATAAGCAGGCATGCCGTCATCCCCATGCAGAAAATTGATCATTCTTTGATCAATGTCATAAATTAGTATTAACAATATACTAACCCGCTCATAAAGGAATACTTCTACCTTGCACCCAATTGGCTTGAAAAAGGAATACTTCTACACTCTTTCTCAAAGTCTCATGAATGAGGCGAGGGGTAATCACGCATGGGCTAAATCTTAGCGATATTGTTTCGGTTTGCCCCTTGCGTATTAAACATATGATCCATAACAAATGAACATGTAATTGATGGAAAAAGAAAGTATCATTTTCCCTTCTTTTTTTCACAGTTTTTTATTTGAAGTTGAGATCATGCATTTCGTGAGTAACTGATGCCTATAATAATGGATGGTAAAATGGCATGCATGATATGGCACAGTACCATTGGTCCATTGCGACTGCAAAAACTGTGCTCTTAATTCACAAGAATGCGCATGAAGGTATTGGATGACTTACAAAATACGTCGCGAAACCATTAATCAAGTAGAAGCTGTTTGTACTCTGCCAACAGCTTAGGGATATCATCCATACGCAACTGTGAATTGAAAAAAATATATCTCAAAATATGATGAGTAAAAATTCAACTAAAAAAAAACTAAGACCTAAACATAAATATTTGATAACGGTTCATGTTTCTCATTTTAATTTTAGAAACAATAAAATCAAGTTCTTTGTTTCTTATTCCAGTTTCTAATTTTCTTCGAAATATAAATAAAAAAAGAAATGGTTACCAAATACGATTTTTTTATTATTTTTCAATAAAAAAAATAATAACAAGAAACAAAAATAGTTGTCAAACGCAATTCTACTTTTCTATATTAAAAAAAAAAAAGAAGAAACAAGAAACAAAAAATAAAAAATGAGAAACAAGAACCATAAACGTTACCAGACATGCCATAAGGAGTAAGATGTTCGCATGATAGATACCGGATCCAGTATTTGAAGAACGATTATTTGGATCGATTGGTAAAATCTAACGTCTAACTTCAAAGTCAATTAATCTTGATTGTCTAGCAATTTGGCAACTTTATTAATGTTCAAGAGGTAAGGTTTCAGTTTCAGTCATTTGATCTCTGAACAGGACCTGTTATTTCAGTCATTCAACTTCATAATGTTCATATTTTAATGTACTACTAACTGAGAGGATAAGAGAATGAAGAGGTAGACCTAATTCATAAGTTCCTCAGATACCTATCTTGAAAATAAAACAGTGAATTTGAACCATATGTAAATTTCCAATTTACCCTACTGTAAAAGTGATATACCAGAAAAGGAGACACCACAAACAAGCATTAAGCAATAAGATAAAATAAACAGCCACCTATTATAATGGAGACTTAATCCATTATAATTAAAAAAATTGATTTTATGAAAATTTAAAATCACTTTAAATTAATTTTTAAAGTATCACTTGGATGGTAATTCATACCTGACGGAAGTTGTTAATATGGTAAAATTGATAAATGTCTTTTCCAGGAAAACTGGTACTAATGAACTCTGATTGAGGCCCATCATTTGCACTGTCATTTTCAACATAAATTAAACAGTGACGAACAAGCGATATTAACATTGCAGAATTCATGCTTTTCACACCAAGGATCAAATAAATTTTCAAACAATAACCAAATATTCATGCAAATGCAGTTGAGATACCAAGTAAACTAAGCCATATTTTGTCTATAAACTCGGTAACACCATCTAGAGTTAAAAGTAGATAATTACTTTACGGGAAACGAACATGGTTATTTAAGAAATCAGATATGATAAAGGTAGAACGTCATGGTATATTTTTATGTTTTCTCGTCTTTTTCGGGAATAAGTTGGTGCATGTTCATGTTGATCATCCTAAATTAGTTCATATTGGTACCAACACCACCAAAATAAGTATCGCTAAAATACATAGGGGTAAAAAAAAAAAAAACAGGGAAGATCAATTAAAATTCTCCTATCTGTTATCATTAATATCAAGACTTTCTAACTAGTAACCTCGCATCTTATTCTACACATCAACAGTATTATATGAGATGGCCATCCTTAGAAATCGAATTAATCAATTCCAATGCACCTAAATGAGATTCAGAACACACAAAACAGAAATCCATATTTAAAGAGATGGAAAGCCATGAAACTCCGATGTGATTTAATATATCCCATATGGTAAATACTTCATTCTTACAAGTAACTATTCGTGATCAAGCGATGGTAGTCACGAAGTAAGGGCCCAAGATCTTTCAGTGGAATTAACCTAGGATTAGAATTCCTCCAGTGATTCCGAAGTGCCTGGATGGCCTACCACAACAAGAAAACTGTCAGATAAACTACTTAGATTAGATGGTCTTGCTTTCAAACATTCCCAACTCACCTCAATATGTGTGACCTGCCCGGTGATAGAAGGTTTGACTTCACTTAAACTATACGCTAGATTAAGGAATTCTTTGTCCTCCATCTCACTTAGAACTGGAATTCCAGGATTAGAGGATGAGATAGTAATCCCCAAACTTTTTCCTAACTCTACGACTGCATTCTGCCTCCCATGAAAATCCTATTTAGAATTGTAGGAAATATATTATAAGAAAATCAACAGGAAACAGTTCTGGGTATAGGTAAGGACTAAGGATAAACATGATAGTGGCAACCGGAGTTGATTTGAGATTCTTCAAGATCATTAGTTCATACATTCAAACATTTCTACTGTTAAGTTGTTTCATAAGAGAAGAACTATTTGAAGACAGAGGAGGTACATAAAACAGCAAGGAGATAAGGCATCTTC